TATATCGTCAGATGAAGAAGGGAAATAGAGGAACTAGAAGGACTAGACACTAAGAGTTACATGGCTTATGTTAAATTATTGGGAGTATATATGAAAGGGTTACAAAGCTGCAAATTGACGATTGGGATAAGGTAAATAGGATTGTCCATTCATAATCAATTCAAAATTAGAATTTCTGCTTCTAAGAGTGTGAGAGCCGCCGTTACGGGCAATTTAGCACGCCCCCGTGAAAACAGCTCTATATATTATGTACGAAATAAAAATTATATCCACTGTCTAAGTGCGATTGGTAAACCAGATACAAAAACCCATATGCCCACTTTCATATCTTGAACCACCATAAAAATAGAAAGAGAAGGAGAGAGATAAGGAGAGCAAGAGAGGGAGAAAAAAGCGCGGCAAAGACAAATTGAATTGGATGTAGCAAATGCTTTGGCTGCTCTTCCCGCTTCTGCTGCTGCGGGCCAAAGGCCAAGGGATCTGCGAGAGGAGCGAATGCAATTTGCTGCGCGCATTTCCTGTCCAACAAACCAAATCAGCGCCCACAGCCACGCCCACAGAGTGCAGACAGGCAACGGCTGCAGTTGCTGCTGCTCCTACTGATGCTGCCAAGTCATGTTTGCATGACGAACTTTGCAACTGAAGAAGTGGGAAATATATATACATATTATTACAGAGATGTAAAATAAGGAGGATGAGGAGGAGGAGGATTGCCAGACGGAAATTGGCGCTAATCTGTGCAAGTCTTATTCCATTTTTATGCATTTTCACATGGCAAATGAATGGAACTTCGATGATTCTTTGCATGCAATATGATTGCGCGTGCAACGAGGCGGATGCTCAACATTGAGAAGGGAAGAGCAGGAGGATACTAAAGCAAGGGAATTAGCCAAGAATCTATTGTCTTCCTAATTGCTTTGAGTACTTTGTAAGTTTGGATTAATTGGGCGGAATGTTAATGTAAGACTAGGGAAAATACTTGAGGTAGTATAACAGTCAATGGTTCGAGCCTGCTAAGCATTTTCCCTTTACAATATCTTAAGGTCTTCTTATATTAATAATAGCTGAGCTGAGTTAATGAAGTGTAAATTGTGAATTGAGGGACACACGTGAAAGATAGGTAAATCAAGCAATGCACAAGCACGTCGAGAAGATTTCCTTCCCTCTAAAGCGCTTCCTAATTGCATTTAATACTTTGTGAGTTGAGTTAATTGAGCGGAATGCTGCAGTAGTAGAAAGGAAGAGAAGGATTAACACCAGAAAATGTACATCATGTAGTATAACAGTTAATACCACGATTGTGCTGAGCATATTTCCCGCTCTCTTTAGATTTCATATACGAATTAAATACTTTCTATGTATGTGGTGGGTAGTGAACGAGTGAAAGCTAATATCAGTTAATTGTATTAGTACTCTGAGTACATTAAGTGGCATAGTAAAAATTACTTAAAGTTTTGCTTTGGATATTTCCTTCTCTTAAAAAGACTTTCAATGGGCCTCATGAGAATTTAAGTGAATTAGGTTAATTAGGTGATTCATATAAGTGAGTACTCCAATAAATGCTTGGAGTTTGCTAAGAATATTTTCTCTTAAGATATTCCTAATTGTATTGGGTGCTTTATGACTTTCACTTGAGGGGAATAAAATATGATTATGATGAACAGGATGGGTAATTTAACTCAACAACACAGTCTGATTTTGAAATGGAAAGGAAGAGAGACGCTTTGTGTAATCAAAGAGAATTTTGCCAGTATGAACATAAAATTCACAAAAAATATATTCTCTTTTGTTATCTTTATCCATTTGAGAAGTGTCTCATGACAATTGAATCTCTGCTTCAATGGAGTAAGCCACGCCTAAAAATGATGCAGCATTTGCCCCAGAGGCAATCCAATCTGGACTCTCTTCCTGTGTGCGCTTTGATAATACTTTTCACTTCCGCCTTTCTCCTCCAGTACATCAGCTAATTAGTTGAACACATGCACGAAAGGCGGAAAACTTTTGCGATTTACCTCATCGAAGACTTACGCACACAGTGACTCTCCAACTGTAAGACATGCCCCGCAAAACTTCCCTAAGACAAAACTTCTGTTTCCTCTTCTCCTGGTTGCTGCTGCTTGGCCAAAAACTTTAGCGAAAATTAGTTATTGTCTATGGTCTAAGGTAACGATGGGCGGGGCTGTGGGCGCTATTGGAGGGGAGTGTGCCAAAAACTTCAACAACGTGCACCTCAGGCAAAGTTTGTGGCGCCTCGACTTTTGTTTTTGCACTTTAGACAGTTCGTTAAGCCAGTTGCCAAAAAGAAAAACAACAAAAAACGAATGAAAACAGGCTATGCAAAAAATGTAAATCGAAACTTTGGCAACTTTGTGACATTGACCAAAAGCCTCTAGCACCGAGCCCCAAGCGACTCCCCTTTGACTGGGAACTAACTTGGCCCCAAAATATGCGCAGCATCGGACTCCATTATGTTGCAACAGCTGACGCCACCAGACAACAGACATGTCCACCCTTCCTCCTGCCCCTCTGCATTCTCATCCCATTTCCCAACAAAATACGAGCGAAAATAATGAATTGCAGAAGGGAGTAGAATTGCGCCTATAACCGGAACACTATAGACAGGCATAGCGATAGAAGGGGAGAGTGGGAGAGCGGGAGAGCAGGAGAGAAATTTCCCTTCAGCAACAGCTCCTAACGCATTGTCAACGCAGCAGTGACCAGCTGAAACCACAGGCAGGCATATTTTGTACGAATTCCCATATGCGTAACAACAAAACGAGTGTGAGTAGGACAGGGAGTGTGATAGCGCGCGGGGAGGGAGGGGAGCAGAATGACATAGTATGTGACCAGCGCGACTCTATTTTCATTGCTAACAGCTGGAGTTGTCGCAAATCACAGCTAGATGTAGACAATAGCCAGATAAGCAAGATGAGCATATTGACAATGTGTATTGTTTAGTAACAGAAAAATTTATATATGTAATTGCATATTATATACAATACCTGTTAGTACATATATAAATATAATCCAATATATATTAATAAAAATATAAATGATATAATATTTAGTTTACATTATTATTTATAATTAGGAACTCTCAACACTCACATCCCAGATGAATACCCTATATAACGGGATCGTAATTCAATGCTGCAGTGAGCACAACAGTCATTATGCTATATGGCGCTCTGTCTCCCTCTGACATATGGCAGCAAGCGGAAATTCATAAAATGGGATCAAAAGCAACAACAGCGCGCTTATAATTACATTTTCCCTCAATGAGAGCATGCAAAATGTCCGCTCTTCGCGTAAATGCTCTCAGTCAATGGGAAGATCCGTGTAATGGAATTTAACGCAGCTTACACACACACACACAGCATGCTACTGCAACTTTATTGAGTATTTACAAATTGGGATATTGTAGATATTACAAAATACAAGGAAACATAATCGTATACTGCACAATGTTACTCATTAAACTATTTGCTGTGCCCAGAAAACGTTTTCACTTATGAGTCGACAAAATTGCTACTTCTCCATTTTCTTTCGATTCAATTGAGAGCTTCAATCCTTGACTTTTCCGTTGACAGTTTTCCCAACATTTTTCATTTGCCAAAAAGTTGTTCACATTGCATTGAGTTATCGGCTTAACCTGTGACAGGATAGTTCAATGGTTGCAGGCCTCTGCCTCTCTCGTTCATTCTTTCGTGCATTCTCTTAAGTTGTCAATGTGACTGCACTCTCACTAAATTCATCCAATTTGCAAAAACACATAACCTGGTTAAATCTGAGGTCAAAAGAGACCGAACAATGTTGCCTAAAGTCAAGTTGCTACTGATGCCCTGTAAATAACAAATGGGAAGGGTATATTGATTTGATAGCCGAATGAAATTATGAATAGTAAAGGTTTATATGGATATGAAATCTGGTTTATAATACAAAATGAATACCAAAAATATAAATGAAAAATGCGTTTGAAAATGTTTCAAAATATACTAATATATATATAACATAATATAAATATTTTATGTCCATATATTTTATATATATATCCATACCTCTAATAAGAATTGAACGAGTGTACATATGAACAGGGTATTTTATGGTCAGGCAGTCGAGCACTCTCACTTGCTCAGCCTTACCACCAAACTAACGGAGGCATTTGAGCTGGAACTGAAATGGCGTCGAGTGAAATGTAAAGAGAGCAGGTTGTGAGAGCGGAAGTGGGCAACGAGAAGAGCAGCGGGGGCAGCTATGAGTGCAGAGCACAAAATAATTTTTTTGTTTTTTGTGCAAAAGTCTTCAATCAAAATGCGTCGGCAAAGTTTTAATGCAGCAACTAAATTTCGAAGCTTGCTCAGGTTGTTATGGTGGGCGTTTATGTCTGGGCGTGGCAGCGGCTGTGATAAATGATGTGTCGAAAATAAATGATTATATGCTTCACACTTCGTCCACTTGATGGCTGCAAAAAGTTTAACTTTTGTTGTTTTTTTTTTTTTTTTCAATTATTTTGATGTTTACATTTTACACTAAAGAGCTTGTTAAGTGAGTGTGTGAGATAGAGGGGGGAAACAAGCTGAAGAATATAAAGAAGCGAGTGAGTGAGTAGTTCGATTGACTTGTTCATTTTATAACGAAATGAGTGAAACTCACTGTTGGAACTAAAGAGACTTGCTATAAAAAAGCAGAATTAGATCAGTTACTGAGTGAAAATCAATTCCTTTCAATTCTTTAACCTTAAAGTCTACAATCTCACTCAGTAAACTATAAAAAATATTTATCACAATTTATGCTTGCGCTGTTCGGATCCGTCAGGAGAACAAAAATCCATTTAAGTGGGCCATTTACAATGATTGTGCATCAAGAGAACTTTTTGTGGAAAATAAAATAACGGCAAATTGCGCCAATTGTTTCCGCTGTTTATGCATAAAGTGCAATGCATGTCGAACTGTGAGCCACTTAAAGACAAAGACAATATGTAACACATGTGAAGCTGTCAGTCTGGCACAGTTGATGTCAAACTGTAAATCGTTTACAGCTCTCATAATTTTATTAATACATTTTGCATTTAAAGTAACATTACAAAATACGCAATAAAGAATGCAATTGAAATGCTTGTCAAACCAAATAGCAACCTCAAAGCAATCACAACACAAGTCAAACTGTCACTGCCCCGTTCGCTTAGCATCCGATTCCAAAACATTTCTAACAACTATTCCGCCTGCTCCTTGGCCACCTCCCCGCCCGGTTGATTCGCGGTGGGCTTGTCGCCGGAACCGCTGCCCGAATTTGTGGCCTGCACTGCCACCAACGATGCGGAAGATTCTGTGCGCAGGACGACGCTGTTGTCGCTGCTCTCGCTGCTCGAGTCGCCCACGTTGAGGTCGCTGCTCGCGGCCTCTGCGGGTGGCGGCGGAAGATTCGCGGTCGTCGGCACTCCAATGCAAATTCGCTTCGACGGCGGCGGCGCCACGTGACCCAGGCGGGCGCTGCTCAGAGCTGTGCCCGCTGCCACCGAGTCGAAGGACATCAGTTCACCAAAGTAAACGTGTTGAATAACGGGAAATTTTGAGAGGATCTAGAAGGGAAAATAGTGAGCAATAAGAGGCTCATTTTACTTGAAGTGACTGTCAAACCTCCTTCTGGTACATCTTGACTAGCCCAGCATTTATCTTGATCCACGACGGCACTGCCGAAATGCTCCACAGTTGATTCGAGTGCTCCCCGAAGTGGCCCGTCTTCACCTTGCAGATGTAGTCGATGCAGCTGATGAACATGTACTGCTCCTTAAAGTCGGCTATGATTTGCTCTTCCACGAATTTGGATGGATCAAAGGGACTTTTGACTGGAAGAAAATGGGGAAGTTTATTGAGTAAAGAGTTTAGTAATAAGAACATTTTATTGGAGAGTAAAGGTCCTTATAATGGGTCTTTAAGAGAGCAAATCAAAATTGATTGAATTAACAGAGAAAATTGCGAAGAGGGTCAATGAGACCACTCTTTCGATTGAAAGAGACCATTCTTTATTGGAAGAAAAGGGAAATTTATGAAGAAAAGAGTATACAGATTATTTCAAGAGAAGAAAAGTATTTTTAAGTATAAGAAAATGGAAATTTCATTAATAGGAGAGTTTTTACTACATATTTTAGAGTAAATTTAAGAGCTGGATTGCTTATAGAGAGCAGATTAAGCAAAGAGAGAACTTAACATAATGAACTCACCTGCCAGTTGGGCACTGCCCCAAATGAAGGGCACGAATTGAAAGTCATCCAGGGACCAAACGCCTTGACTTCCAGCTGGTTCCATGTTGTAAGTGCGCTGCAAATGCCGCGCGAACTGCAAATAGCGATTGAACAGGCGCAGAGCAGCGCTGACGATGTCCTGCTCTAGCAGTATCTCGGCCTTGAACAGAGCGCACAGGAAGAAGACGAAGGAGAGCTCGTGCCCGGTGCCGTAATCGATGCGCGTAGCATTGCCGAAGCTCTCGACGAGATACTGGAGCAACTCGCTGAGGTATTTCTGCTTGGTGGCCGGCAGCAGCTGCTGCAGCAGGTTGGGCAGCTGCTCCTGCATGGCGCGGGACCAATCTCTGTAGGCCTTGTTGCCGAATCTCTGTGGCTGCTCCAGGGGCGGATGCTGCTCCACGAGCTGCTCCAGCGAGTCGACTAATCCCAGCAGCTTGCGCAGCACCTCCGACTCATACATCTCGTCGGTGGTCTTGATGCCCTGTATGGCCGTGCTGGTGCCATTGATGTACCCAATCAGGTCGTGGTAAGCGCGCGAGCGCTGCCATTGTGCAAGGTCAGAGATGTTATGCACTCGCTTCTCAATAGCCGGCACTTTGTCTGCAGGTGTGAGAATGGAGGGTATCTGATAAACTATGCTAACTCTTATGTTGCTCTCGCTTACCGGCTGCCATTGCATTGGCATCTGCCATGCTTCAATCGAAATTTTGTTTTTATTGCTTCGTTTTAAATTACGTTTTGTTTTGGAAAATATAGAGAGAGACGCCAATTTTATCGCAAATGCTGAACAGCTGTTCATTACTGTGTGACCTTTCACAAATACTATGGGAAAATACTGCACATACATATATACCAGTTCAGTAAACTCGTTCATTCGAGTCACTTCTGTTTCAGCTCTTACACTAACCAGAGAACACATAGACCGGTTAGTGGTGCAATGTAACATTCTAATCAGTATTGCATTTGTCACTCAATATTGCAAAGCAGCTCACATTATAAATGAGTCATTTTAACAGGTATAGAGTGGCAGGCGTTGATTAATATTTATTTTACATATGCTTGTGGCTCTGTTGAATTGACCTTATCAACTACCTATTCTAGCTCCACTTTCAATATTCCAATTTGAATTATTTGTGCGCTTGCTTAACAGCTGTTATTACTCGTATTTGCGAATAGTTCAAAATACGATTCAAATCTAGTTCCGATATCTCATGTTACTGATATCGAGCTTGTTCAGCGTCGAACTACACAACGTCAACAAAACAGCAAGAAACCTACGCCTACGCCGGCTTTTCGAGAGAAACTGAAAAGAAGTGAACTTAAACCATCAAAATGCTTGAAACGCTGTACAATTTGCCCTTCCACATACTCGTGCCACCCAACGTCAAAGTGCGAAAGTTCTCCATACCCGTGCCCTCGGCCATGACCGTCTTTTCCGCTGTGCTGATCTCCTACTTCCTGGTCACAGGAGGTAAGTGAAACGCATATAAATACAAACGTGATCTTAATTGAATATCCTATCTTTCAGGCATCATCTATGATGTGATCGTGGAACCGCCCAGCGTGGGCGCCACTGTCGACGAGCACGGACACTCGCGTCCCGTGGCCTTCATGCCCTACAGAGTAAACGCCCAATATATAATGGAGGGGTTGGCCAGCAGCTTCCTCTTCACGATCGGCGGCCTGGGCTTCATCATAATGGACCAGACCCACGCACCAGGCAAGACGAACCTCAATCGCCTGCTCCTGACTGCCATGGGCTTCGTCTTCATCTTGGTGTCGTTCTTCACGACTTGGCTCTTCATGCGAATGAAGCTGCCCAGCTATCTGCAGCCCTAAGCGAATCAGATTAAGCAAACATCCCTTTGACGGAAATCTCTCTTATCTATATCTAAGTATTATAAACTCCATGTCATAATCTCCAATGCGTGTTTTTTCATTATTTATACAATATTTATAAGTCTCCCATTCATGTAGATTTTTCACAATTGCCAATTTCTCTCTTAACTTTACCTGCTTCTGCTTCTGTGTTCGTTTTTCTCTTTTTTCGTCCGAGCAATTCTCTTCTGCCTTGGATCTCTGTCCAAATGGCCTGCTATTCTCATGTCGCTCTACTCGCCTACTTTCTCGTGCTCGTTTATTTTTCTTTTGTTTTCAAACAAATCAAACTGTTTGCAAAAAATAATTTCAGTTTCTGTTGCGACGGCAAAGCGTTCAGAACGCGATCGTTCCGAGAATTTATTCTATATATAGAAAGTTGTAGAAAAACTGAAAATCTATTTTGGTTTTACATACATAAGCTACAAAAAGCAGAAAAATAATATAAATAAATAGAAATACCTCAGCGAAAATAACTTTTAACGAAACAGTCAATAGTTAACTCAATCAGCTAATAACATTGAAAGGCTGCAGCAAGTGATGTAATAGAAACAGAATCGAGGAGAAGAGGAGCAAAGCAATTCGCATAATATTTACAAAATAAATCAAAGAGAAGTCGGCAAGGATAGAGAGAGAGAGAGAGAAGGATGTCCAAGAAGTTAAGCGTGCGCTCCTTGAGCGACAGTTCGCTGGCCGAGTTGGCGAATCTCTTGGTGTCCACGATCAGCTACGTCCAGTATGCGCCCGATGTCAACCTGGACATCAGCATAGTCATGGTCGAGTTGAACGAGTACTTGTCCCAGGCGGGCGCCACGTCGAACATCTACCAGGATCTGCTGCGCGTCATTCTCAGCTCCGACTACTTGGATGCGAACATGCGCTTTACCTGCTTGCAAATGCTGCTGAATTGCGGCGTCCACCTGCTCGTCACGGAAGTCTTTCCGCCCAGCTACTATGAGAAAATCCTGCAGGTGATCGCAGCGCAAGGATCTGCCTTGCGCGTGCTCAATCTAAAGGGGATTTGGGTGAAGGAGGAGCACATGCACTACATGTACGAGATAGTGAGGCGCTGCAAGCAGCTGATCAAGCTCTACGTGCCCTATATAGCGAACGATCAGCTCCTGGAGGAGATCGCCGCGAACTGCAATCAGCTTGAGATCCTGGACATATCGGGGGAGACGGACATCACAGAGATCGGCATCGATTTGCTAACCAAGGGCAGCTGTGCGCAGTCCCTGACCGTCGTGGACGTGGGCATGCCTGGCGAGGAGAATATTTGTTACTCTGACATAGCTCTAATCCTCGAGCACTGTCGGCATGTGGAGACCCTATCGACCTACTCCTTTGTAGGAGCTGCCCTGAAGTTCATCCACGACAACATCGACAGAAGCTTCCAGTGCAAACTGAAGTATGTCCACGACACGGCGACGGACGAAACGCAGCTGCAGGTTATTGTGCAGTCGTGTCCCCAGCTGGACACGCTGTACCTGGACTCGCCCAAGCTGGGAGCACTGCGCGCCCTGCAGGCGAAGGCCTTGCGAAAGCTGAAGATTTGCAAATTTGTGGTCGCCGAGCTGATGTCCCTGCTGGAGAAGCCAATTGGCCGGAACTTGAGGCACCTGACCATCATCAAGGGATCGGGCAACCTGGAGCTGGGCAAGCTAGCTAGACTGTGCCCCATCCTCGTCGATCTGGATTGCTATGTGATCGAGAGTCTCTCCTATGCTCAGAACCAGACGCGATTCCAACATCTCGAAGGACTCGAGATTCTCAGCTGCGAAATGATGACCAGCTCCCTCAAGGCGTTCCTCTGCAGTGTCACAGACCTGAAGCGCTTGGCAGTCGATTCTGTCGACTTTACAGATGAAGATATCGTTAGGTATCTATGCTACATTCGAATATATCCGTATACTACGATATTTGAACCACATTTCCCCCAGCATGTTTGCTCAACACGATTTTAAGGTCTTGGAGGATATTTGGTTTACGATCGCACCAGAGCTAACGGTACAATCTGTTGAGGTCTGTAGTCGCTCGCTCTCGTTAACTCGTTCTCTTTCTCTCTTTTACAATGTATATTTCTCTTTTTCCAGCTTCTCATGTTCAGCTGCCCGGAGCTTCAGAGTGTGGGCCAACTGACCGGCTGGTCCTTATCACCAGATGACTTATCCCTAATACGTGGCCTGCTCAAGAGTGGCAACTCAAGCCTTGTACTGACTTCCAATGGTTTATTGGCTTAAAAAATGAATTTATTTTTGCTTTGCACATTTTGCAGCCTGCTACAGAAAAACTAAATATCTGCTCTTTGCAGCGCCTTCAGTAGACGTCAACGGGCTGACGACGGATCGTGCCGGAAATATTTTACATTTAAAACAAATTATTTATTTTTAATTCGTGCTTTGTGATATGTAAATATTAAAACTTTGTTGTAAATTAATTGAAAACAAATGTTGCTAAGTGCAAGTGTGACCAGAGTTGAGCCAAGCAGTATTTTTTTGAGTATATTGTCTCGTAGAAAACAGCTGAGCTGCAGGGCTGCCAACAGTCCATAAATATTTATAAATGTTTGTTCATTGAAAACTTATGACTTAAAATCTAATAAAAATCTAATAATGGGTACACACTATTTATTAGCTTTAATATTTTAGTATTTGGATCTATTTGGCGTTGTTTATCACAATTTTCTTAATAACGGCTTACATCATGTCACACCGCTCGACAGCCCTGTGCGCAACATCCACTTTTCATGCGCACTCAAAAAAAAAAAAAAGTAAAATGAAAAAACGCAGCAAGGAGTTTCGCAAATCGGAAAATAGTAGATTATAAACGAATTTCGCAGTAAACTAATAGAGTGATATTTAAATAAAATAATTAAGCAATGAAAAACTATAAAAACAAAAAGAAACCACTTCCGCCGACGTCAGCAGCACCACCAGCCGCAATCGCAGTCGCAGCAGAGCCACAGCAGCAGCCACATCAATTTCAATAGACGTAAAAGAAAAAAATAAATAAATAGAGCAAAAAGGAAATAAAATCTCAAGTACCGTTTTCAATATGCAAAACGAATCTCATTGCAACAATTTATAACTGTGCGTGATTTCTCATTTGTTGTTTGTTGTTTGTTGCCCGTTGTCATGCATTTTGTCACACAGCAGCGGCAACAACACCACAAACAAACACAGCAGCAAAAGTCAACAACAACAACAAACCGCTTTGTGTCGCTCTGCAAATCTTCCAGTCAAGGCGCTTTGCCCAAGTCTTTGGCCACTGCTCAAAGTCCGCTGCGGCAATCCTCACAACAACAACAACAACAACAACCAAGGCATAAGCGAGCCGCCAGCCTTACCTTGCACTCCATGTAAGTTATCCAACTACCACTAGAAAAAAAGAAGCGACATACGAAAAATAAAAAACATGTTCTACTTTTACTTGAACTACTTTTAGCTTGAAAAGTTGATACATATATTATACATATATTTAAATACATACATATATACAGTTATGTTTGGTGTAGGTTTTTCTTGCTGGTTTGCATGTTTAACAGTTACATTTGCCCGCTCCTAATTTGCATGTCGTGTGTGTGGTTTTTTGTTGGTTTTGTTGTTGTTCCTTTTTAGTATATTCTTATCAGTGAAATGGCAAAGAGATAATCCAGCGTGTCAGTGTGTACACACAAATGGGGCACTTCGCAATTTCCAATACTAATTCCAATTAGAATTGTGCTCAGACGAGCTGAGTATATTTGTATGTAGCTCACATGCAAAAGGCCATCACGAGCTGATTTTATAGCAAAGTAAATAAAGTTTGAAAAGCCGTTTGTTAATATGAGCAGGTTATTGCGAATATAAACACCATTTAGAACGAGGTTCGTCTCTTTTCTATGATAGATCACATCCAATTCGATTATTACCCAATTCAATTCTTATTCAAATATTTCCATTTAAAGCCAATTACACTTGTTCTTATCATATGTATTTATATATATATATTTTTAACATAACTTATTAATTGCTGAACTATGGCAATCAATTAATAACTATTCCACCTAAATATTAAAGCCTGTGCGTCGACACATTACGCATTCAATTGATGATAAGAGCTTAAAAAGTGGGGAAATAAACAGAACTTCTGGTTTTACGACTTCGTCAACAATGCAAAGCGAAGCAAAAATATGTTCCGGGGAGTGAAGGGCTAACAGATAAAAGCAGCAATTACAATAGATCGAATGAGTTCTGACTTAACTGAAGAAAACTTTTAATATGCGGAATTTAAATTGTCCTCGCCAGTTAATTGTTTGATATTTATTTATAATTCATTTCAAGAGAGCGATCTATTGTGAAAGTGTATTCGTAGTTAAGCATAGATCATTACGGACATTAATAGAAAGAAGAAATTTGTTATTAGCCAAACATTTCAAAAAGTCCCAAGATATAACAGAGGCTAACAAATAATGAGTAAAAAATAATCAATTGTTTCTTTAATCAATCACAAAAGAATAAGAAATCATATAAATAATAATCATAATATTTATTAAACTTAATCTAAAAAGTAGTAAAAAGTGCTGGCTAAAAATATCAGTATTTTTAATCTGATGAATTTATAACTTTAGATTCTAAAAAAATATAAAAAAAAATAAAATAAAATAAAATAAAAAATAACTTTCCTCTATTTTCACGTAAAAATTGCTCAAGTTTTCTTTACGGTATTTAAAGCATGGAATTTGCATAATACTTGGCCAAACGCGAGCGGCGAAGCGTATCGAAAACAATCGGCACAGCCGACTCTTGCTTGCACAAAATAACAATGCCCATATATGTATACATATATATATTGTGTATAGACATATATATATATACTTTTGCCGGTTGAGTCGGGCGATTCGCGGCGCTTTATTTGAGTGCAAATTCAAGCGTCGCGCTGAGGTGACGTTCGCTCTCCAGCCGTCGGCATTCGGCATCGCGTGAAACAACAAACGGAAGAAAATATCAAAAGAAAACCTATCCGAAATATAGTCGAAGAAGACTAATTCGATAATTAAGAAACGTAGATATATTAATGACATATGTGCTAAAAATAGATAAAAGAAAATATGAATGGGAAGCAAAAACGAAAGCAAACAAATGAACGCCCCTCCCAATTTGTGTTTCGTCATCGTTTTTCCAATTGATGACACAGTTCGAGTGACCCCTTCAGGCCTGACCCACAATTAAAACAGTAACAAAAGCCAACTAAAAAAATTTGCAAATTTCAGTGACAACAAAAAAAAGTTGAGCTAAAAAAGACGAAAATACAAAAAATGTGAGTTTATTACTTTTTTTATGCGCTGAAAGTGGGTAAAATGGATGGATGCATACGGTTTAGTGTGAATGTATGTGACAGACAGTAGATTTGTAGCTGAGTCCGATCTGAGCTTAGTCTAAGTAGAGCGAGCTGATATAATACATATACATATACTCTTTACTCCATTCGCTGCTCTTGATCAGAATAAGAGTCTACTCCTAGACTTAGTTTTTTTTAACGTAACTCGAAAACTTGATGTTGATGATGATGCTCTTAGAATGTATAGATATTTTCATATTCTTTAATCATTTGTTTATATGAATAAGTGTGCATATTAGATTAAATATTAGTTAGAAGTTCAGTTTTCGGAAATCAATAGAAATCGAATTGCATAATTGTTATAGGAGAACTTCTGGAAATATAGAAATTTTTGTTGTTGTGAGCTCTCTGTCTAGCCCAATACTCTAAATGATCATATATTTATTCCATATTGTAGACAAAAATCATACTCTCTCGTCTCTACAGCATGCAATTCAAATCTTTTCATCTTCGCTCAATTTTTGCTATATCTGCTAGGGTATCGAATAGTCTATAAGTTGCCTGATATATGTCTATTTTCCTATTGTATTCCTACTTGTTCTTACTTAAGTTTTTATTGATTTTTTTTGTTTTTTGTTTTTTTTTTTTTTTGTTAGAACTGGTTTGTTTGTTTGTTTGTTTAGTTGGGCTGATTATTTATTACCGTTGTGTTCTTTCGGGCTGTCATAGTGGTTCTGGCACAGCACACGGCCAACCCGACTAGACTAGCCGAACCCAACTGTGTTTCGACTTAGCTCTAACTATGCCTGGGCATATATTGGGCATGTTTATTCATAAATAATTATTGTTTAGCTCTCGTTACGCGCATGTTGCATTACCCCTGAGACACGCCCCCTCCAGCTTTCTGATGCGAGAGCTAAAGGTTATCATAAAATCTGTAATTATATTCTATTTGGCTTTAGGTGAGTTAATAATGATTGCCATTTCGATACTATATATACATATGTGTATATATACCTCTATATAAGTAATATTGTATTCCAAAACTTGTTTCTTTGTTCTTGCCTTGGCACGTTGTTTAAGTATTCCAAACGTATTTCCTGTTAGCAGTAATTTGTTTCTATAAATCATCTAGTATTTCTGTGTAGCTCATGAACAATTTACTATAATAATACTACTTGTAGTACTATAGATATAATTGTTCATTAAATAGAAAGTGAAGGGTATACGTAGTATAACTCTATGCTAGCTATGAAGCTAAAACCTATCAACTTAGAATGTACTGAAATTCATAGTTTCTCTATTATTATCATCATTCAGTTTAGAATTTATATGGTTAGAGTATTTACTATTTGATATATGAAAAACTTTTTTGTGTACCTTTTAGTGTCTTGGACGGTATACTTATACTGTCATAAGATGTCTAAAACATGTGTAAGCCATAAAATATATTTTTATATGTATATATGTTTTAGCTCTATATCAGCTGAGCTGATATACTTAATATATACCATCAGTTTAGTTGTTGCTTAGACAAACAAGTCTCTCAATCTTGAGATAGCATGCAGATAATGGTATAAAAAGTATTTAAAAAGTTCTATAATTTAGCTAATATAACTTAGACAATAGCCACAGCATATCTAAACATATTGTTACATTCCTACAATATCATAGTCATATAGCAGTCATGTAGTATAATTAATTCATATAAATATAAAAATAATCCCAAGTGAATTTGAACTTTGAACTTTTGAGCTGATTTTGTTGTGACTGAAGACAACATTATTGTATTAATTTATAAACAGCAAACACAAATTTTTAGCTGCTGATAAGGCTGTTGCTCAGTTTTTTTTTACCCAATTTATATTTTATATGGGAAAAAAAACAAAAAAAAAATATATATATATATATTTAGAGTATACAGGCTAATTTATATTTGAGTACATTTATTTTTATTATTTTTTTAATTGCGTATTTCAATGCTCAAACGAGTTTTAATTTTATGTATTATATCATATATTAAGGGTAGTCCCTCAAATGGTAATAAAGACAGAGTGAGGGAAAGACGAGGAAATTGGCAATTATTTTGTTTTAGCTTTTTCACTCGTTTTATGAGTCAGTAGATGAGCTATTATCCAATCAAATTTGCACTCAAATAGTGCCAACTGCTATCTCAATTGAATGGCCCCAGCCATGTAACAAAGTCAATTAAGAAGACAAAAAACAATAAGTGCAGAAACGGGAAGGAGGGAATATGCCATATATTGGTTTTCAATTAACCCTAGAAAGAGCTATGGAACAATTTTAATTTGTAATGGGTAATATTGAGGTAAAAGTTCACTTTATATTCCTGGAGTTGCCAAATATAGTTTTAGAGTTATCTTTATTTATTTTGTTGTATTTTATTTACTAAACACTCGATATTAGATAATCTAAAATTGGAATTTCTCAAATTGATGAAGCGAACGTTTAATTTAATTATTTTTGAGTTAGTTTAATTTACTATTTATCAAACATATTAGATTATTTATAAACTTATTCTTGAGCTAAGGTATGCAAGTTCCAAACTCGTAAATTTCCAGCTAACTGAAATTGTATATCAAAACCAAGTTATATATAAACAACGTCTTCTAATGTATAAAAAATAAATGTTTACTTTACAAAGCTCGGACATTATCATTTGCCCAGTTCAGAAATTGTTGGCTCTTATTTTATAACTTTTTTGATAGTTTAAATTACCAGTGTTTTCTAATAATTCTCAAACAGTTTTGACTGTCTCTAAAAGTCAGTGACCCAATAAGCTAATGGAAATGAAATATTTTTTCTTATCAATTGGGTCACTGAAAATTGGTTAATTGAAATTTTACGATTATATCTTTAACTATCTATATCTAAATATCTGAATTTGTGTAGAATTTAATCATGAACGACGTTTTGGTGGATCCGTCAAAGGCCAAGCTCAAAATATTTTACCGTAAAGAGAGTAGAGATAGCTTATCGCGCTTATCTGACAGCTGAGTTTACTTACTAACCTGTTGCTTGATACTACGGGCCCAATAAAGTTATATATACAAATATATGTGTGTGGGTGTGGGTGTGTGTGTGTGCCATATACATGCATGTGGCTCAGTGATTATCAACAATGTCGATGATTGGCAATTGTATTGAAACTTCATTCTCAGTTCATATTTCAAGCGGTTAACAGTAGACCGTAGACAATAGAGAATAGATGGGGAAATCAACAGAGCCCTATGTTGTGTGGTAAAGGCTATATCTATATATGTCTAAGTATATGTATAATGTGTACAGTGCAAACTCTCAAAAATGAACCATAATAATACCATAAAAAATAATCAAAATCATAAAAGTAAAACAACAAATAATACTAAAAATAAGTTTTTTTTTATAACAACTAAAATAAAAATTATATTTAATAATGTTCAATAAGAATAACAAAACAATAAAGTCTAATAGAAACAAAGAAAGCGAGAGAGAGAGGGAGAGACTTCCCAAAAATTTTGCTTCGATGGAAGTTGAGCAAGAGCGAGAGGCCAATCGCTTTGTATATACGTTATGTAGATCAATCGCGAGAAGGAGAGAGAGATAATGCAACAGAAAGAGTGAAATAGAATGAACAAGTATAAACTCTTTATGATAGAGAGAAAATAAAAATTTAGATCTGAGTAGGTTGACCTTGAGCTTTCTACATATATATCAAGGAATATCGAGTGATGACATGTGGGAGAGAATAGGCTTCTTTAAATTAAATCGAGCTAAATGCACATCGAGAGAGACAGAGACAGAAAATCRTTTACTTGTATACAGTCCAAATTATATGTATGTATGTATGCAATTATATGCAAATATATATTTTAATAAAGGAAAATAGGGAAATAGGAAGAAAGGTCGAGAGGGGGAGAGCTAAAGAAAATACGTTTCTATAGAAATCTACCAATTCTGTTATCTATTATATATAGGTATGTAAAGAGAGGTAGACAGGGAGAAAGGAGTGTAGGTTGGGAGATTTGCAGAGAGAGATAGCAGATGAAGAGTTGGCTGAGAACGTAATCTGAAAGAGAAAGAAAGTTGACTACTGGAGTCGACAGTAGACAGGAGTCTACAAGTCTAGAGAAAAAGGGAAGGAGAGAGATAGAATGATATACACAATTACATGTATGTGTGGCTTAAAAGAGAGAAAAAAGGGCAGAGATAGAAGAAAGAGAGAGAGACAGCAAAGAGAGCATGTCTTTTTTTTTATAATTTTTAAGTTTGTTTCTTTTGGTTGTACTCCTTTGGCATTTCTTAGTTTTTATTTCCTTATGCAATTTTATTGTAGGACTAAAGATATTGATATAAACACAACCACAACAACAACAACTGCAGCGATAGCAACAATAGCAGCAACGACATCAACAACAACTGCAGCAACTGTGGCTGCAACTGCAAATGCTGTAAGCAGCGAAGAGGCTGCTCATGCCACAGACATGATTTGTGATGCACAAGAACAGCATCAGCAACAGCAACAATTGCAGCTGCAGCAGCAGCAGCAGCAACAGTCGTCAGTGGAACAGCAGCAACAGCAGTCGCAGCAGTCCCAACAGCAACAGCAAAAGCAACAGCAGCAAGTGGAAGCTGAACAGGATGATAAATATATACAAAGTAGCAATCAAGCTGAAAGGTAGGTAAACTATGAATCGAAATCAAGACTCGAGACTCGAGAGACACACCTCGGTAACTGGGCAAGCGTTAAGTATATTTAAACCGCTTTCTATTTGACTATCCATACGAAATTAGCATGCATTTGTAGTAGAAACTCCTCTGCACCACAAACACACATTTATATGGCCATTTATATAGATTCGATCTCTGTTACAGACAGCCACTAAATAAATTGCTTTTTTTTAGGCGAGATTCGATTGGCGATGACATCACGGCCGCAACAACAACTACCACAGCAACTGCAGCAACAAACAGCATCAACGGCAGCCAGCTAAGCAGCAAGCTATTGACCATTCAGGAGGCCGCCGGCACTCTAGAGCGCAGCAGCATCACTCTTGCCACAGCATTGTCTTCAGCACAAGCCACTTCCGCTCCTGTTGCCGCTGTCATCTGTCAAGAGACACAACTCAACAGCAGCAGCAGTACCAACAACAGCAACAGCAACAATACCAACAACAGCAACAACAGCCATCAGAACGCAGAGCCTCCCAGTCCGCAGGCTGCAAATACGCCTAGCATAAGCATAAGCCAAGCAGAGTCCAAGGAACAACAGCAGCAGCAGCAGCAGCAGCAGCAATCGCTGCTCTCTCAGAGCCTCGACTCGAACGGGCAGCAGGCTGGCTCCTGCACGGACAGTCCGAGCAGCCGCAAGAGCTCGACCAGCTCCAAGGGCAAGTCAGCCAAGCTATCCACATCGAGCAGTGGACGTGATGACGTGAGTATTAGTAAGAGTGGTTCGTGATCTAGTTCACTTGTGTGATAGTTAAGTCGTAATGCGTTTAGCTAATCTACACTATCAGAGAGTTTTATTTGGAACTAGTAATTCTGGCTAGTTCATATAACAAATATATATTCATTATACTTTTGGAACTAAAGCTCTTTGATAGCTCATATAAAAGTAAATAGTCTGATTCACATAATAGAAATTCAATTCTTTTTAATTATTGATAATAATTTCATTCTAATCTTCATTTAATATGTCTTATAATAAGTGCTTCAAGAACTCTTACCTGTTTCGTCTAGTTCCAAGTAGACATCATTTCACATTATTGTCAAATTGTCAAAGTTCTCTCTTAAGTTTCGCTCTTTCCCAACAAATTGCTTGCTCAACTCTTTGACAGTCGCGCCATGAAAAAAGCTCGCGGGCTTTAATTTCTAATGGGTTCTATTCATTATCACATTGGCGGTCGCAGCAAAGAAGAACGAACGAAATATCGAACAGATGCTACACACGAGCTGATAATGTATTGGGGCTATAGATAACGAAAATCGGGCGACAGATATCACATGGATTATTTCCAACTGGCAGTTTATTAGCTTTATCGATTGAGTCATACTGAACGCTAGGCATTTTCGACTAGTTCACGAAGTTTCCCCAGGGAACAACCAGCTTGTGGTTAAATTACTGTACTACTGTAATACCCTTTGCTAGCTTATATGTATATAGTGCATATCAGTTCATACAAGTAATATATTGTAGTATTCCAAGTATGCCAAAGTAACTTAGGAAGGTCTGTCCTTATGGTTGATCGGAAAGACTTAAATACCATAAAACTCCTAATCTTAAGTCTATTATATTGATAACTTCATAGGGCAGAAATACGGAACAATTTTGGTGACTCAACCAACTGCTCAGGTTAATCTATTTCTAGTTGACAGACCCTCCCAAGTCAATCCCCAGTTGATAGACCCTTCCGTTGCCACCCGCTCAAGTTACAGAGTATTCGGTATACGAAAAGCTCTTGGCACCCCAAAATTGGCTTGGTCCGAAGCTTTGTCACTTTGTTGATAACGCGATTGATATTGGAACGGAACGTGTTTGGTTGGCTCTCAGCAAATTAGAATTCAATGCGCGGCGCGAGACGACGCAGTGCGTCGATTTTGGTGCGGATCGATCACGTTTGATTATACAACATCAACTCATACAGCGCAGAACAGTTAAATGAGAAATACTAATAGAAAGAATTCATAAAACAGCAACAAAAAAGTTTCTGTATACACTGTGATAAGCGTGCGAGACACTTGCTTTCCCGAAACATTTATGATTCAGACGTTCGGTTGTATGTATGACTAAGGAGGTTTACTATTTGTTATGCCAGATATCGGCTATACTTATGTTTATATATCCATACATATATTTTGCAGGATGCGCAGAGTAAAGTAAGCGAATCGAATAGCACAGAAGGCGTTCTACTACGTGGCGATCCCACATCGAATGATAAGCCTAACAAGGGCACTTCGCGACTCTCCGAACGAGCCAAGAAGAAGTCCTGGTATAACGTCATCTATCCCAACTATAAATCTCGGGCCGAGGACTTTAAGAAACTCTTCAAAGATGTGCCCAACGATGAGCGACTAATTGTGGGTAAGTTCAATATGAGCATGATATCATGATATCATTCTTTGTGTACACCTGATATCGTACGAAAAGGTACAAAGTCAAGGTTCTGTTACCGTAGAACCTCATCGAATTGAAAATTCGAACTTTATGAAAATGTGTAGAAGAGACAGCAGGAGGCGTGGCAAACTCCATGAAGACTCCATAAAGTCTTTATCAGGACAACGAGTCCTGAGTCCCAGGCATGTCCGGCATTATGGATGCCGCCAGTTCATTCCTAGTCAGCATTTTACTGTTTCTTCGTAAAAGATTATCCTAATGCCAATTCCAAAATATTATATTGAATATAGTTATTTCTATCAATTCCTGCTAAAAATGTTTTTATAGGCGTTTTTTTTTTTACCATGCGTATTTATCAGATATGATTTTTATAACGTGCCTATTTGAGCACCTGTGGTGTTTTATAGCTAGTTCTTTTTTACTTTATTCCGTGCAAGATAACAGATCTGTCCAACAAGTATTATCAAAGTATTTCGGAACGCATGTGCTTCCGTGCGCTAATTTTTGATATACAATTTGAACTGGTAATTGTAATTAGAGCTGTTTATCGGATCTGACGAAAGATGATCTCATGAGGAAACACATATAGAATGAATGCTTTAATGGAATCCTTTCACTTGCAGACTATTCGTGTGCGCTGCAGCGTGATATATTGGTGCAGGGCCGTCTGTACGTGTCACAGAACTACGTTTGCTTCCACGCGAACATCTTCAGCTGGGAGACTTATGTGAGCATCAAATGGAAGGATGTGACGGCCATAACGAAGGAGAAAACAGCGCTGGTCATACCGAATGCAATAACAATATCCACCGCCAAGGAGAAGTTCTTTTTCGCGACATTCGCATCGCGTGACAAATCGTATTTGATGCTCTTTCGCGTCTGGCAGAATACGTTGTTGAACAAGCAATTCTCACCGCAAGAGATCTGGCGTTATGTGCACAATTCGTACGGCGACGAACTGGGCCTGACCACGGACGATGAGGACTATATAGATCCCACGCTGGATGCGGATACGGAAACCGATGTAGACTTCCAAACGGCCATCGACGATTTTGGCGGCGATCAAAGTCTGTGCAGTCAAAGCACCAACAACTCGGGACAGCTGCAGCAGCAGCAGCAGCAGAGCGGCAACAGCAGCGCCAGCAGCGGCGGCGGCAGTGCTGCGGTGCGTAAATCTAAAACGAAATATTTCTTCAACTCGAGCAAGTCGTCAAACCTGAACTCATCGGCCAACGCCTCGGCCAGCGGCTCGGACAACAAGGCGAGCGACAATACACGCAAATCCAATAAGAAAATGAAGGCGAATGCCAAAGAGCTGACCCTCAGCTCCGTCAAGGCGGCGGAGCAGTCGGTGGCTGTCACCGTCAGCGTGCCCAGCGGCAACAGCAGCAGCAACAGCCACGGCCACAGCAACAGCACCAGCACCAGCACTAGCACAACAACAACCACCGCAACAAGCACAGCTGCCACAGCAACAACAGCGACTGCAAACACCACAGCCAGTGGGCCAGCGAAGGCTGAGAAGGTCAGCAGCAATGCGAGTCTGGCAACTGCTCCCGAGCTCCAGTCACATGGCTCGGATGCCAAGCGCAAGATGCAAATGAAAAACCAGAGACAACGCGACGCTGAGCTGGCGGTCAAAAACAACGAGGCGGGACCCACAGACGTGTCCGACTCCTCCGACTCTGAAGTGAACAATGCGCCGTGAGTAACGAAAGGCATATGTAAATCACAATTATATGAATATCCTCCACTTGCAGCTTTGTGCCCAGCACGGAGTGCACCTCGACGCACGAGGGCAGGCAGATTGTGCACGCCATATTGCCCATACGCGTGGATACCCTGTTCAATTTCCTGTTCTCAAAATCCAAATTCCTAACGGACTTCCATGAGCAGCGCAAATCCACAGATCTGTCGCTGGGCGAGTGGCACAAGAATGAGGAGGGCCAGAATGTGCGTGTGGTCAATGTGACTGTGCAGTTGGCCGCTTCCGTGGGCCCAAAGACTTCCAAGGTGGGCATGAGACAGCTAAGAAATGTAGGCTGAATGAAAGGGAATAACTAGACAGGGGACTGAATCGTCCCTATAATATGAAATTTCTACATACTTAATCTTAGCTATGAGGCTATTGTTCAGATCCTGGCTCTTCTCTCTCCTCTGCCCATTGCCCATGTACACCAAATTCTATTATATTGTATGAATTAACGTATTCAAATTTGCTTGCAGGTCACGGAATATCAAACGATGCGCGAGTGCAGCAAGCCGGGTGAGCTCTATTCGATTGACGTGAACAGCGTGAATGCGGGCATACCGTATGCGGACAGTTTCAGTGTATTGATACACTTTTGTCTGGCGCGGTAAGCCAATGGGGTTTATCACGTATATCATTTCTGTAACTAACGGTGAAAAACTCATTTTAGCACTGTGGACGATCATACCATGCTGTCGGTGCACGCACAGATCAAATATAAGAAATCCATATGGGGCATGGTCAAGGGCTTCATCGAGAAGAATACGTGGGCGGGTCTGGAGGACTTCTTTGGGGCGCAGCTGCATGCGCTGCAGAGCGAAACGTGCATACCGCCTGCCAAGGGCAAGGGACGGCGACCCAGACGTGGTGAGTATTTCGATATTAGGCATAAGCAACGACAACAACAACAACAACAACAACATGAATAGTAGCAACAACAATAGCAACAAACAACACGCAATGCAATAACACATAAATCATATACGAATACAAAAACAAATACAAATACACTGTCAATGTCCAAATGCCATTGCTATTGCTTCTTCTAACCACACAAAATGCACGCACACCATCAACAACCAACAACTACAACAACAACTAGAACAATTAGCTGCAAACTAGCTACAACAACAACACACAGGCATATTGGTTACAGCAACAGCAACAACAACAACAACAGCAACAGCTAGCAGCACGGACTATGACAAGCAACAGCAACATCTGCAACATCATCACCATCATCAGCATCCTCATCACCATCATCATCATCACCATCATCGTCACCATCATCATCACCATCCACATCACCATCCACAACACCATCCACATCACCATCCACATCGCCATCCACATCATCATCTGCAGCATCAGCAACAGTTGCCGGCGTCGCCTCAACAACATTTGCAAATCCATCCGCAGCAACAAATTCACCGTAAGGCCAAATTGCTCTCATGTTCAGGTATATAGCGTATCTCAGACGCTAAGCAACCCCTTCAAAGCACAAGCGATTGTCACTAGGCACTTGCTAAGATATCGAAATATGTATATGTATTATAGAATATATAAGTTCTAGACTGATTGTAAATAGATGTAAAATATATCTAAAGGGATTGCAGGGGATAACTTTGGCAATTTGCTGAGCTTTGATAGGATGTAAATATCTGTTATATATATGTACTATATATATGTCTAAAATGTAAAGAACTTTGATAAAATATGAAGGGCTGTATAAAATAACTAATTTGGTTTCATGTGCCAAATTTGATAGTTTTCAAGATGAAACGATCAAATGAGAAAAGAAGAACTAATTATCCATATAGAACATAGAAACACTACAGTTGTGAAACTTCCCAGTTGGCCTCGAGTTTGTAAGGAAATTGTCATGTAATGCCCATAAAGAGACATATAACCAAATTTTTGCTTGGGAAACTTTTTGTATCATATCTCTTACAAATATACCAACAATTTTTACCTATAATATTCACACAACTTTACATTCTCGTTACCTCCGATACCTCCATTAAATCTATTGAAAATCTGCTTTTAAATATTATATTTAAGAACACAATTATGATGAATGTTAAATGATATATTAGAGTACAATATCATGTTTGAAGAATGTATAAGCATACGATTCACCCATTAAAGGCTTGATTTGCATTAAGCTTGAAGGAATGTAGGAAAAAAGTTGTTGCCTCCATTTAGCTGCTCTAGTATAATAACCGTAATATTTGAACTAACCTGTGCCAATCGCTTGGTGCAGAATTTTGCTTGTTGCTGTGTTTTTGTTTCATTTCGATGTTTTATTAGCATAATTATTTAGCTGTATGCGTAAACAATTTGCATGTATTAACACCCAAGTTTTGTTGCATTCGATTGTTGTGTTTCTGTTGCTGTAGTTGCTTAAACAACTGTTGACACCTGTCCGCAGCTGTCTCTAATTAACGATTATCCATCTTTCTGCTACCTAGGCACCTCGACACAGTCAAGGGGCGTGACGGAGGAGTCGAACAGCGGAGGCGCCTCACAGAGCTGCCTGCCCGACTCGATGGACAACTGGGACTCAAAGCTGCAAAGTGGCGCAGCTGGTGGCCTGGCACATGGAGCCGCTGGTGGCAGTGGCGGCGCCAGCGGCGGCAAGCAGCAGCAGTTAACCGCTCAGCAATTGTTGCAGCAACAGCAGCAGCAGCAGTTGCTGGCTRGCGGCCTGCAAGTGGGCCGAGATAGATTCCGGCATCCCGGCCTGTCGCTGTTTGTTATATTGTTAATGTGCTTGCTGCTGGCATTAAATGTGATATTATTACTTAAGCTCTGGAAGCTGGAGGAACACATTGACCTCGATCTCAGCCGGCGGGCGCGCATGCCCACCTTGGCGGCACTCAAGTACATATATATATAGCATATATCTATCTGAAACCGAATCTTTAAATTAATTGACTTTTTCTTTTAGGGAATTGCCGAGTTCAAACCAAGATTGGCTGGAACTAATGCGACAGCAGGAGCTGTCGCACGAGTCGGAGCTACGCAAATGGCATCAGGTGCTTCAAACGGCCATCGAGCTGCTGAAAAAGGTGAGCATCGTTTGCGATAAGATCTACAACGATGGTGAGCTGCGTCAGAGCATTGAGTCTTTGCATACGGAATTATAAGCCAGACGTCATTGAGCCCGAATTAAATGCAATTCATATTCATCAAATGAAATCGTATTCAGCAAGCAAGAGCGAAAATCGTTACATATTCCATAGTTTTTAGATTTGATATTGATACGAAAGACGAACCCGAAAACCGAAAGCTTGCCTTAAGGCTTTATAGTTATTTGAAATTCAGAGCAGTTAAGCCTTAGCTTAGTATATTTTTGATTTCGCAAAGCCTACATGAAACCAATTTTATAAAACGTAATTAAAATCATAAATGTTGAGATTATATTTTTAAAATATTTTAGCTCTTTGTTAAGCTAAGATTAGGCCTTAAATTAGAAAATTTTTGTAAAATTTAATTTCTATAATTTTTATTACATTTTGAAATATTTCTGCATAGAAATATATTCTTAAAATTAGTTAACAAACTGCTTGCTAAAATTATTATTTTAATTTAATTTATAATTTCTCAAATTTGTTTTCTAATTTCTGCTTTTTTATGTTCATTTCAGACTGAAAAGACTTTGGCTGAAGTCATGATACCCTAGCAGTCCTTTCAGCACAACACAAAACTCCACTCACAAACCCCATAGAAATTGAAGTTTAAGAAAAGTAATTGATCTAGCAGAAACATTCGCTTAGTTCCTTTTGGTACTGAAAGAGCTAAGAAGAAGCGTGAGGCCACCAAATAATTGAAATTGAATTTCAAAAACATTAGTCACAAAATATTAAGAGAAAGAGAGAGCGATAGAGCGAAATATGTGTGTTATTGTGTTAAGCCTTTTAGTTTCGTCCCTCAGTTAGGCTCTATTTAGATGTATATATAAATATATGTGTGTATTTAATAATTAATGAATTTACAGTTTACTTATAGTTATACATTTAGTTCAAAGCCTAAATTCGTTTTTAGTCGGCTGCATTTATGTTTAATTCAATGTTGGGCAAATGCTTTAAAACAAAAACCAATTGAGAGTATTTCAATACAAAAATACACACACAATCGCATCACAGACACGCATACACATACACATACATACTCACATGCATACCAGCAACAAGAAGATTAAAAAAAAAAAAATACAAATAAAAAAAGCGCCTTGAATTTTTGTTTTAAAAAATTCATTTCCATGTCTGATGAGCGCAAAGTAAATCAAAATTATTTTGTAATTTTGATAAAGAAAACTATACCAGATTAAAAACAGAGAATACAATATTATATTTAACTGAACAAGAACAAATATTTCTGTACAATATTTTTGTAAAAACAGCAAACTTTTTTACAATCTATAAAAATGTATCTTCGATTTGGTTTTTCATGATTTTTGGAACACTTCTTAACCCGTTGTTTTAACAGTGGAAAGATAAAATGTTAAGCATCATTGATGGCTTATATATATGATATATACGTATGAATATATTTATATATATATACGATTACTACACATAGATCCAAGTATTCTTAGTTTGTAGCTGTTGCATTTTAATGTCGAAATGTATGTGAAAATGTTAAGGAATAAGTCTAGTGCTAGGCATATGCCAATGCATGTTGTTGGCGAGCATCCTACTTATAGAGTATATAACAATCCCAACATATGTGAAAAGCAAAAAACCAAGCTTCAAATTATTTAAATGCTAATTGGTTACAAAACAAAAACAAAACAAAACAAGTAAGAAAACTCTAGTCGAGAGTGCTCGACTACGAGATCCCCTGAACCCTTGGAGCAATAGATATTTCAATAATTTTTCTTGTCTTTCAGCTTACACAAGAAACACGCACACACACACACACAGGCACGTACGCACACACAGGCATACATACACACACACGCATACAGACACACACACACACGCATACATACACAAACGCATACACACACACATACACATACACACACACATACACAAACACATACACACACATACACAAACACATACACACACAAGCACCCACGCATAAACACGCATGGGCTGCAGTGTGCGCTTACTATGAGAACTTAATTGTTTAATAACTTTTTTTATGGACGTACGATCTTCATGAAACTTTCAGATTATGATTATAACATGGATATGCATGTAATTGCCAAAGCACAAGTCTCTAGTATTTGAAATACGCTTTTTACAAAAGTGAGGGTGAGGGGGTGAATTTAAGGGTGGGGGGTAAATTTTAACAAAAACCGAAATTGTATAAATTGCATATAAGCATACATTAAAAATTTGGAGACTCTAGCAATAAAGGTGTAGAAGATATAATTTTATAACTGGTTTTCGATAAGGTTTTTTATCGATAAAAAAAGATCGGGATGAGTTATCGAATTTTAATGATAAACTTGATATGCGCGCTGTAATTACGGACATTTTAAAAAAAATTTGAAGTCTCTAGCTCTTATATCTTCTGAAATCGACGCGTTCATACATACGGACAGACGGACAGACGGACAGACGGACAGAC